TTCAGTTTCCTTCTCTTAGATTGGTTGCCACTCAAGGCTAAAAAACAGTCTCCCTTACTATTTTAACCATAACTGGGAAGAGAAGAGAAATTCATGCCCTTCCCAAGGACAATAATGTGAAAGTGAATGCAACAGACTAGCCTAGAGTTTGAAGTTGGCTTGTTGATCCCACTTTCTGCACAAATAACCATTACACTACACAAACATCATACAAAATCATTAAAAGCTTGAACAAGTTCTATAGGAGCAAAACAAGACAAACTAAAAGCTAAAAGGCTTACTATACTAATATTTAATTTGTAAATGCAATTAAGAGAAGGAAATCTATTTATAAAATCTGCAATACTAAATGGTATAATTGTAACAGACAAACTAACATAAGCCAATGAGCTACATATATATATATATATAAGTTCTAAGACTACACAAATGTGCATACATTTAATGCTCATGGGTACCTAACCTACTGAGTTCATGCTATCTACTCATGGTAAATTACATAAGGTTTTGTAATATTATATTAGAACCACTCTGTAATCTTTACGATGGGTGAGAAATTCAAGTGACATGCCTGCATTGAATTTGTGAAACTCATCAAATATGGTACAGACACCTTTCAAATGCTTTGTCAGGCTTTTAGTGAGTATTAAAACAATCCCAAGTTCTTGAGTAACAGATACACGTTTCAAGGCTGAAAGAGTTGGTTCAAGATGATATGCACTCAGAGTGACCAAATACCAGAAAATATTTAAGAGAATTTGTGAACTCAATTGATGAGGACCATTAGAACAATGAATTTGCTCTCCCATATGAAAAAAAAAATGCAGTATCTTGACAAGAGCCTTGAGGTTTGCAAGAAGACAAACAATGACAAATTTAAATAATACGAAATATTATTTACTGGAGTAATAGCGTTTTTCTTTAGACCTATTTCAGGAATTTTCCAATACCATTTCATATATCCTCATATTTTCTTAATTCGACAATATAAGTAATCAATTAAGTATTGCATATCTGAAAGTCAGAGGAAAATACCACAAAAAATGATACAAAAATTGAAAATTATTTTCTCAGTGTGCTATATAAAAAGATACAGTATGAGATTTTGTGAAGAGAGGGATTGGAAAACTAATTATAAATGGCTAAAAATCTTTATTTCATTTTGATGTGAAAGAATTATGCAGTAAGAAAATTGTAATTACCATTTTTCCCAAGCTTAGTGATGACAATTTGATTTACTATGCTCCAAATTATATGAATTAGAATACAAAGTCATGAAAATTAAAAACCTAGTTTAGACGTTTGTACATTTATAAGTAATCTTAAAGATGAAAAATACTTTGGCAACAAGTTTCTATTATGAAATCCTAAGCATATAAACACTTTTCTTAATCTGTCTGAAAATTCAAAGCATTTAAATGATTCTTTTGTGGACGAGATTATTTTATTCATGGCTTTAAGGTAAATTTATTTTACTTCAATTCAAACTTGAGACCTTGTCCTGTTTTATTCAGTTGTCTATGCATAAATAAGTGTAAACATTGTTAATATTACTCCTAAAAGCATTTTTCATTAGTGATAGCAAACATTGAAATTAAACACCACCTAGCTAACAATTATGTGAACCCAATTAAGCAAAACTTCATGACTTCAAGAGATTCTTATAAAATTATTAAATTAACTAAAATTGGAATTCATTATTAAATTAACTAAAATTGGAATTCATTATTTAAGTTTAAAATGTAGACGATATTCATATTCAGTTATCTTATAAAAATATTAGGCTTTACTTTTAATATACAGCAAATCTTGAAAATAACATTTTTTTTTTTATTGAGAGATAATATTCCAATTGAAAAAAAAAAATGCTTTTTAAATTGAATGCACTTATCAAAAGACACTTGACTAAATGATAAAAATTGTTAAACGTCATGCTCCTGTAAAAACTTCTGTATATAAAAAGATAAAAAAGTAGCACATTATAATTTAAGAAAGCAACAACCATTTTCTATCCAAATTGAAATTTTCAAGAGTAGAAAGTTAATTCAAATTTTAGAGTGACCCAAACCTGATTTTATCCTTTATGGGATAAAAGGATTTAAAAAGTGTTAAAAAATAATGTAAAACTGAGACATTATTGTTTTGAATATCGAATACACTTTTTCCCCCTTTTTTATATTAAAAAAATGTTATCTGCATTTTTGAATGTTCATATTTTTCTAAACGTAAAAAGCATTTATGGCTTGAACCACCAGCAGGTGTTTCCTGTTAGACCAGAGAAGATTCAATATTCATCAAGGCTACCTTACACATCATTTTTCATGCTTGAACACTTAAATGATTTTCAATAACTTTCAGCTGCCTTGATGACAATCACAAAGAACAACTTCTTAAACGTACAATAAACAGAATCTTCATTTCTAAATTTCTCTACTACTTTTTTTATTTGCATTCCTAAGCTAAGCAAAATAGACAACTATTTTGTTTGGGGAATAGTGTTGTGATAAATGTATTGCATGTATAAATAAATTTATAAAATAAATAAAAATATATAATTTAGATATCACAAAATTTCTATCAACGTGTCCTACTGTAAGTGAATATTTTTTAATGATCAAAAAAATAAAAATAAAAAATAAAAAAAATAATGAAGATTGAAGCTCACAGTCACACGGAGTCTCTTCTGGTTTAAAGTTCACTGAATTGATTTAATGAACAATTTAAAATAAATGTCTAGAAGTCTAATTTATTGACATTGAAATAAACCACTGAAGACGTCAAATATTTTTTTAGTTATGAAAAGTTTAGAAAAATAACATAATAACAAAAAACAAAGTTCGCATCAAACTCAAAGCTTTATTTGACAGCCTTTACACTACAAGATTTTTGCCTCCCACACTTACTGTAACTTTTTTTATTCAGTAATAATAATGATGCTTGCTCTCTTGAAATACCATTTTCATACGCATTTTCCAAACTTGGTTTATCATAATGGATTCAAACCAGAATCTTTTTTTTTTTAACACTTAACATGTTTGTGTCCTTTAATCAACATATGGTAGTCGTTGCCTTGAACTTACTTATGACTGAAAATAAGTAAATATTTCGAAAACTACAGGTTGTGGTTTCCATGAAAATTTTAATTAACGACGGCTTGTCACGAAAAATAAAATAAAACGAGCGTGTTACTGTCGGTAAATTGATTTTATTTTTAATTTTGACTGACAAAAAAAAAAAACATACACAATTAAAAAAATCATTTTCAGTATTTCAAGACAAACATAACTAAATAAAAAAGCATTTTGTTTGATTTTACTACAAATAGAAAAATACAATACCACCCAAATCTTCTCCCTAAAAACCTAAATCAGAATAAGGAAGGAAAACGAGCCTGGAATGAGTGTTGCTGATCGCGGGTAAATAAACAAAAAAAGAAAGAAATTCTAACACAAAAAGGTCTACTTTCATTTTTATTCTATCACAATTTTTCATTTTTTTTTTTTTAAATCAGCTTAATTTTTTGTCTTTTCTTTTACAAAAAAAAAGGAAGAAAAAATCTATTTTGCCATTGTTTGTAATTATGTAAAAGTAATACATTAATATTTAATTCATTATTTCACGCAATTGCAGCTGGTGGACCACACTGCTTGCTTTTTTTTTTTTAAGACATTATTCAAGCGAGTTGAATGCATTTAACTTTTTAAACACAAATGCAACAATTTAAACAATTATGATGAAAAGGAAATCTACTTTTAAGTTTGAAAGTTAGATGTTGAAAACTTGTGAGTGGCTTAAAAAAAATCAATTACATCTGAATTCTGAATGAATAAAAAGAAATCCACATCGTTTTTTGTTTTTGATACAGCTCATAATTTTGAGAAAAAATGTTAAAATATTTTTCAACAATATAAGGGTGTGAAATAAGATTTAAGAAGATGTAACTACGCAGTAAGCTAAATAATTAAAAAAAAATAATATTGATATCGATAAAAAAAAAAAAAACAAAAGTGTGAAAACTACAGCTGTAAAAAGAATGAATATTTTCCCACTTAAAATACTACACACTGAAAATATAACAGAACAATGTTTAATTGTTTAACTTTAAAAAAAAAACAAAAAAAAAAACAAGTGTGCACTGATTTATAAACAGTTGGGTACTGTGTTTTTCTTGGGGGGGTATCTTTTTTAGTGAACTTGTTTGTTTTAGTCTGCGTTTAACAAAAGAAATAAGATATAAAAAAAACTACAACAATTAAGTAATCTGGAGACATTTTTTTTAAACTAGCATTTTGAAAAATTCCATTTCATCTCAAAAAAAAAAAAAAAAAGTCTTCGAATTAGGCTTGTTGAGATCATTAAATGTGGGAAAATCGGGGAAAAAAAAAAATGAATTTCTTCAATAAAGTGAAAGACTTCGGATTTTAAAAAAAAATATATATCTACAAGTCATCTCTGAGTTTCACACTGTTTATTCTCAGACTGACAACCAAAACGGTATAACCCTATTTTCTTTCTTTAAAAGTTGATTCTTTTTTTTTTTTTACTTGTATCAAAACGTGCGTATTATTTAGTGTACGAAATGTCAGTATTGTTTTCATTATTAGCAGTAGTACATTTCTCGAGAAAAAAAAAAAAGTTAATGATTTTAAAATGTTATTTTCATAATTTAATTTGAATAAATAACAAACCAGTTATAGCTAAAATAAAACCAACTTTTTTTTAACAAAGTTAAAAATAATAAATGGTTCTAAAAATGTTAATTCTACTCAAGTTCAGCGGTTGTGATAAAGAAATGACAATACCCAACCAAAAAAAAAAAAAAAGAGAGGAAGGGAGAGAATGAGAAAAGGTATCATCAAATATACATACGAAAAATAGATGATATTAACAGTAAACTAGAGCAATTTTTACTCCCTGTACCGAAAGTATCCCTAATAGTACAAATATGAATAAAAAAATTTAAGCGAATTAGAACAATAAATTAAATATTATTCACTCACGCTATAGCACTCCAACGGATCGCCGGCCGTATGACCTGCCATGTTGTTTTGGTAAGGAGACAGATGGAAGCGGGTTAACTTTACGTAATAATTTCCATTTTTGTTCTTAATAATGTTTTCAAGCTAATATTTCTTCATGAAATCTTTTAAAATATTATTTTTCAATTGAAATATAGAAAATATTATCGAATTAAAAAAATATATATATTTATTCTCACCGGATCGAGATTGAACATGGCGGTATCTTTGAACTAAGTATGGACGCATGGTTTTCTTGTGTGACATTTCCTTGGTGATTCCTAGTATTTGTTGATTTACAATGGTCCCTGGAACTGAATTGCCAATAGAATATTGGTTTTACAATGAGGTATTTTATTGTGGATGTTTTGTTTTGTTTTTATTTCGTGATTATCACTGTGATTGAAACTTTCTGCCAATTTATTTAAAGACATGCAAAGCACTCTTTTTTTTTTTTTTTTAAAGTTTACTATTTCACGTAGAATTTTTTTTAAATTGGGGAAATAGTTTATTGTATTTGAGCTTTTTATACTTTATTTAAAATATTTCAAAATAACATTTTTAACTTTAAATGAGTCTAATATTAGCAAAATATTTATTTACTAAATTAGATTTAAAACGCTAAGCGGGAAAAACGAATTGGATGTCAAAAAACTTTAGAGATTTAGTTTTTGTTGAAATCATGACAGCACAACTTTATCTGAAACTCTGAATTTGAATAAAAGCAAGATTAAGAAACTTCCGAAGAAAAACGGAGAAATTTCTTGTTTTACCGAAACGTCTAATTCATTTTGAGTTTGAACAATATTGCAAATTCATTCTGAACTTGGCCATTTATTTCAACAAACATTCAGTCATATCGAAAGTAAAAATACTTAGTTGTAATTTCATATAGATATGCCTTTTTTTCATAAATAATTATAATCTGTTTGAAGCTTCAAATGATTTTTAAAACTTTGTAATTATGCAAATAAACCTGTATAAATTTGAAAACTAAGACTAATAGTTATTTAAGAAAAACAGTTAAAATGTTTACTACATTGTATGATGACATTTTAAAAATGCATTTATTTTAAAAAGTAGTAAACTAAAGCGAAGTACACTTCCTTTGTGTCGATATTTCTTTGCTGATTGCACGTATGTTTTCTTTACCTCTTTTGTTTTTTTGCAACTGCAAATTATTTTTTGCATGGAAGATCAAGGAAATAATTCAACAATTCTGAATTACCTCCCAAATTAAAACATGCATAATTATTTTGTTTTATTTAAAAGGTGTTTAAAAAAAATTTTATGCTATTATTATTTAACTTTTAACTAAAAACACGACAATCAGTTCAATTCAATAAATACTTATCAATTTTCCTCTTTTTTTTTCTTTCTGTTTTAATAAATTTTCTTAAAATAAAAAGACTTCATTTGGGTAATTAATAAAATAAATATTTTATGACTTCAAATAGTTCAAATTATGCAGAATAACTGTCAAATAATTAAAAAAAATAATAAAGTTTCATAAAAGGCTTAACCTAGAATAAAAAAAAATATTCCTAACATTGGTTTTAAGGTTAAAAATGATTAAACGTGAACAAAACCAGAATGTGTATTTTGTTCTTTTGTATATTTAAATTTGAGGCAGGCATTTTTGTTAAGTGAGTGTAGCAACTGCTACTGACTTATGAACTTGTTGACTGACAGATGCAATCTTGCTGTGTTCAAATGTGTTTACTATGTTTTACTTTTAATAAAATAATATTTTTCAAAAATATTAATGCTTAATTTTACTAATTTTCTTTGGAACTAATATCTAGAACAGATATTTGTTGATTTTTAAAATAGCAGATCAATGATAAATTGATTTTAAGAACATTTTTAAAATGTCTTAAAAAAACTTATTTTTCTTTCTTATATGTTATTTTTAGGTTATTATCTTTCAAATAAAACTAAAATCTTACTGAAAAGGAGGCATTTTAAGTGTTATTTTTTGTTTTGTTTTTTTTTTTAGCAGTATCTAATAATATACTAATGCTGAAAAAAACAAATGAAAAATATAATGCATTGCTTTTTAACCATTTTACTATATTGACATACAATTCTAAATTTATACTCACTATTTTCAGTTTATATAATAAGGTTTCAAATGATGGCTATGATTTGATTACCATCAATGCCATTCATTGATCCATCCTCAAATATGGTTAGCACAGATGTGGCTTTTTTGTTTTGCTAGTCTTACGTTCTCTTGTACAGATATAGCACTATTGGGCATCTTTTGCAGTAGTAATATAAATGTTGTATAACATGTAATTAGTAACTTTTGTGTAACTTTGATTTTTGTAGCCTGCTCTACATAAATACACACACACACACACAACATTCATTATGCATTAGATCAAATTCAACATTTCCAGGGAAATTGACATCAAGACCATTACAAACATCTCACTCGAGTTTCACATGCACAGCATGATTCTATTCAAAGTCTTTCTTGCCATTATGTACTGCTTTTCCCCAGGATGAACCTTCTACAGCTAAGTTTTCCCACTCGTTTTGCATAATTGTTGGCCTTCCTCGGTGTGTTCTTTATGCCTCAATTTCAGCTTGAGTACTGGTCTTATTCCTTCATCCAATTCACTGTAAAGAATTGTCTCGATCAAAATTTTATATTGAAACCATAGACATTTATCTAGTTTTTTTTAAAAGCATTACTGGTTTTCTTGATTCAGAGAGATTCTATCAAGATTATTTATCATATTTACAGTACTGTCCAAGTACACAAAATTTGCCACAACCTGCACTTTCTGAGCATACAAATAAATGCCTATGTCAGAATAGCCTTTATCTGGTACAGATTGGTACATTACAGCAGCCTTTTCAAGTTAATTGTTAGATCTAATGTGCTGCATGGGAAAGAATCTATAAAATGTTCCATGTTACTCTGGGAGTGTGGAGCAACAAGATCACATTCATCAGCACACAGGAAATGATACATGCAAATTGTGTAATTAATTCTTTTACCATACAATTCCCCCCCCCCCCAGTTAAGTCCATCTTGTTTCCTCCTTCTTAGTACCAGTAGACTCCCTATGGAGTAGGGCCACAAGCTCACCATGCTACATTTTGCTACTGTGGCTTCCATAGAAAGTAGGGTTTTTTTTATGAGGTGGTTCAAAACTGGTTGGGCATGGGACTTGCTGGTACCATGCCCAACCAGTTTTGAATCCAGATTTTTTTTTTTTTTTTTTTTTTTTTTTCTAGCTTGGTTGCCAACCAAAGCTCGAGAGTTCAGTCTGCCCTATTTAACCCATACTATTTGAAGAAGATATATTCATACATTTCTCAAGGGTATTTGCACAAAAGTGAATGCAGCAAATTCAACCAAAATTTGGACTCTGCACACCAATTCCAGTTTCTACATCAAATAACTGCGGCACTGCATGCACAGATGTGCACATAATGGCCAAGCTTGGGGAAAATAGCAATTACAATTTTCTCACTGCATAATTCTTTCACATCAAAATGCAGATTTTTAGTCAATGTTAAAGTTCTCGTTTTTTTATTTATAATTAGTTTTCCCAACCAGAACCCCTTTGAAAATAATGGGGAAGTGGATCGGGCCAAGAACTTTTCAGCACACTTTTATACACAGTTCAAGGGAAATAATTTGCTTTTAATCTTTCACTTAAACCTTTTACTATTCTTGTTGGCAAAAACTGGTTGCATGCTTACCAATAAAATGGACATCAGCATACCATTGCTCAGTATTCTTGTATAATGGCACACTTGAATGTTAACTGTATCTCTAGTTTTATTGTATACAAAAAAAAATTTTATTTCAAATCTGTTCCTTTTACTATTCTATTACTTTTTATTACAGGTGTTCAAATGGCGATGTGGCGCTAGTGTATGGTGGACAGCAATATTCAGCATTATCACTAGCACTTTGTACATTCTTCTCTCCTATCTCTTGACACTGTCAGGTAATATCTTTATCTGTTAATAATAAAAGGTTTATTCTGTTCTCCACACAACTCACTCTCTTCTCTTTTTCTCTCTCCTTTCCTCACCTCTGTTCCTTTCTCTCCCCACTTCCTTACCCACTTCTCAACATCTACCGATCAACAGAACATGAACATGAGAAGAAAAAAAAACGACCCATCTGCAATCTATCTTTTGTTTTATCCTCCAACCACTCTCTCATAATACAGCTAACTACCTGTTTACTCCTAATAAATACTTGCACATCACACCACACAATCTCATAATCCATCTTCAGAACATGCCACCACCCTCTTACCAGGTCATCTTCAACAATTTCCTTTATCATCTCATGCATTCACTCACTCACCTTGCCATTTCATTTTATCACCTCTGCCTGTCTCTTCACATAACTGCATACAGCCCTCATCCAGCCAGCCACATGATAATGTCCCACCAGTTTCCCCACATATTGAGAAGAGCTCTTGATTGATTAGGCCCTTTCCTTCCCCCTCTGGAATACCAACATTCTTTCTCTCTCTGCCCCTCCCCCAATCTTACTCCCCCTTTTAGTAACTCTGACAGTTTTGCCACCAACCCATACATCCAGAGATGGCACTTCACCTTTTCCACCCTCATCAATGTCTCGTCTACTAAGATATTGTCTATATATGATTTTGCTACTTTGTTATATTATTTTTCTTTTCCCAACATGGTTTTGAACACCACAGCCACTATTTTTGGTACAGCTTTTAGCTCAAAGCCCAATCTTGTCAAGCAATGGCTGTTCCCCTTGTACTTTCTTAACTGGTATTCTCACAGCTTCCTTGCTATGTGTAGTTGAAGGTATGCTAATTTCAGATTTGTCATCATAGAAGCACTCATTATTTGCCTTCACTTTCACATTGTCTCTCCACATGTCAATGATATTATTTCCCATAGTGCATGCTACATATTCATTCAGTTCTCTAAAGTCCAACACTGGTCTCACCTTATGTTCTGTTGGCTGAATTATTGCCATTAGAAGTAGTATCCTACTCGTGACCTGCTTCCCATGATACAAAAAATACATTCTTTAATCCACACTTCTACTGCCTTCTCAAATTCTTCCCTCTTCTCTCTATATATAGAATTTTTATAAAATAAAAACCATGTTCTTAATACTGGAGACCCATTAATCCAGTGCCATTCCAATATCCACCTTTTTGCCATCAAATGCAGTACGCAAATCTTTATCTTTTCCTTGCAGTGACCCACCTCACAACTTTGATCCTTATTTCTTGTCTGCTCTTCAATCTATGTTTGATATAAATCTTTTTTTTAATGATTTTTCTTATCTGTTTCAATTAAGTTATTTTAATGCTGCAAGCCACCTAAAGGAAATTTTCATGCACAGACCTTATCCAGTTGCACATAAAAATTTTGCAAACTAATTTTTTACCAAAATCAAGAAGTATTATGCTTCTCAAATTGAACTAACAAAAAAAAAAAATTCTAGCTACCAGAATTACTAAAAGTCAATGAAAACAGTTATTCCATTCACACATTATACATCTTTCTTCCTAAATTCCTGTTAGATTAGTGTTATATTCTGTGCTAATAGGAATATATACTTGAAAAACAAGGATAAAATAAAGGTTTATTGTAAAAACCAGTACAATAAGAATAAAAGTAGCACACAGTCATTGCAAGTCAATCCAGTAGTGAGTGCTACTATTGGAAGGTCAGTAGTTCTCACGTAAGTCTGAGTTGTACTTAACAGATCCCAGCTAGTATATTTAGAACACACACACGAGGGTTGCATGTGGCACAAGGCCTGTTTAATGTGGGTTCACCAAGCCTGTAGGCTCAGCCAAAAATATTCCCTTTTGGACCCGCATAAACAGGTTCAGGGTCAGTCTACCTCCCCGAACGAGACTGTGCCCTTCAACGGAGCCTCGTCCAGGTTCCTCTCTGCTCGAAGGCAGAGTCTGACTGTTTTAGTTGGAACAGGTCGCAGCTAGACTCTGTAACCTGTTGACTTACAGATACTTATAGGTAGTTACTACCTATAGCGTAGTCACTCATGGGGGTGACAGGTTATTCCATTACATCAATTAGCAAACTATTTATTTTGTTATAAACTTAAACATTGATTATGCAGTTTAAATTTTGAGTATTTCAATTAGCACAAATAATGAAACCTAAAATTTATTCATTTTTTATATTTTTCAGATTATTTCAGTGCTTTGTTCACACTTTATTCGTTTTTATTTGTGCTATTTGCTCTTGGCATCCACATTTTGATGGCTATTTACAACACCACTCAATGTACAGGTTGGTTAACTGTGTTTTACTTTTGCTCTGTCCATTGTGTCAATTGTTGCATAAATAAAGACAAACCTATCTTTGCTGGTAGATTTCATCCTCTGATCTACTTTATCAACACAAATGTAAGAATTTTATTTTGCAACAAGTATTTATAAACAAAGTAAAAATGTTAGTAGTTTTGTTTCTTATTGTCCTTTTACAAATTATATATAATATCTGAAATTTTACAAAAGACTGTCACACACTAGAAAATAGCTGAAAAGTTCATGTGTGCAGCTATCAATTCTTCCAAAAATTTTAACTTATGCTCTGAATTTTTTCAAATATCTCCTTAAAAGAAATACTTCTTTCCCATGCTAACATACATGAACATAAAAATTAAAAAAAAATGAACTCAAAACTTTCTATTTAAAATAAATACAAATAATTTATCAAAATAAAATTAAATAATGTTAGATTGTGATCTATATTTGGTCTTGAGATATATATGTATATAGCAAATAAGAAAATAAAAATTCAACATCATTTACTCTTTCATTTATTAGTCATTATAGTTTACCTTTAATTAGAATTAGCTTTAAAAATATTTTAGTGTGTTCTTAAATTTAAAGTTTTGAAATATTAACAATGTTTTATTTCTGCTTTTAAATGCATCTTGCAAATAAAATCCCTACATTTACCTTCATAGTGTCTGTTAGGGAATGAAACCTGTTGGTAAAGAAAGTTTTTCTTCTGTCTTTATTTGTACTGTCTTTTTTACAGTTATATTTTATTTATGGCTCTTTTTATTGTTTTTTTTTTTTTTTTGCACGCACACAATATGGTATTGCTACTTATTTTGAATTAAACTTTCTGATTTATCCTAAATATGTGATTTATTTACTCAAGGCAAACCTTTTTGTAGAAGGCTAATTTATTAGTCATTTAAGTGCTGCAAAAGTTCTAAATATCTTAAATTTTATTCTATGTGGATTATTGAATAGAAATTTGTCAGTATTTGCAATTTTTACTCACTACAAATTGCATTGTCTCTGTTTGTGCTATCACATCAAGTAATTCAGTTTTTTTAATGAATTAAGCATTAGTGTTATCAAAATGCATTTCAGACATTAATATAGTTAAATTTTAGGTTTCAGTAGTCGTCTGCTGAGAAGACACATGAAAATGCAGAATATTTAGTTTTTCAAAAATAAACATTTAGTAAAATAAAACTTATTGAATACATCAAATTTGAAAATGCCATTAATGTTTTCATAGTTATAAACATAAATGCACCTCATTTCTGTTGATGTAAAGATTTCTAAATTTTCATTATTTTACTTTTCTGATCCCCAATGCTAAAGTTTTAAATTCTAAAAATCATGTCATTTGTTAAACTGTACCAATAGCAGTTTATCAAAATGACCTATTTGAAACTAATATTTACTTTTATATATCTCCTGAACCGTTTTCTTTTTTTTGCATATTTGTTTAATTCTTTTTCTCTAGAAATATACAAGAAGAACCAGGAGCACTTATGTTTCTAATATTGACTTCAGGGAAAAAAATTTTTTCTTAAATTTTTAAGATAGCTGCTTTACAAAGAATTTGATAGAATTTAATCAAAATGCCACATTTCTTTTGGCATTTAAAACGAGGATTTTTTTGATTTTTTTTTTATCAGTTACTGCCACAAAAATATAGATTTAAGACTTTCCACAGACTTGAATATTGCTTTTAATGAACTTTAGAATATATTTATGAATTTGCTGAGACCAGGCAACTAATGAATTTATGGTTATAGTCATATTGGTAACAGCACTATTTTCTGATGTTAAATGTACTAGATAAATGATAGCTACTTGAAATAATTAACTAAATTGCACCAAACAGACATTTGCAGTGAAAAAAATTATTTTATTATTTATTTGAAAATTTATTTCTTTTTCAGTTTTGCCGCGAATATCTGTAACTCGACTTGGAAATGTTGTTGCCTTTTTCAAACCAAAATGCATTCTGCAATGCATTTTCTTCATTATGTCAAGTATTTTTATCACCATTTTTGCTTCATGGATCATGAAACCTACTTTAGCAAATTTAACTCTTCCTTGTGCAGAAAAAAGGTAATCTTACAAAATGCTTACAGTTAAATTCATTTTGGCATATGATAATGAACACAAAGTATTAGAATATTGTCAGAAAATACTCAATTAGATCCTTTCTTTTTGTTTTGTTCTCTTTAAAACTCCCCATCCTTAAAGTCTTCTTCAAGCCAATGTTAAATTCATGTTGTGCAGGTTTTAGAAAAAAGTTAAGATATAAAAGGTATAAATTATTAAATTTTCTTAACTCTAATGTTTGTTTACCAAAACCTATCTACTTTATTCCATAAGTTTTTTTTTTTTTTTTTTTTTAATTAAAAGCAATCTTAAATTATTTGCTAATAATTAAAGCAGATGTTTATCATAACTTCGCTTCTCAACAGTGGTTTATTTTTAATGCAGCAAAGATGGAAACTTCTATCAGTGTTTCAATCTCATCAAAGAACTTTGATAAATTATATAATCAAAATGAAACTATTTTTTTTCTTTTTCTTTTTTTTTTTTTTTCTACACAGTTTTTATTATTCCTATATGTTTTCTCTCTGTAAAAATATATAAATATTTTCAAATATTATATGTCTCTCACACATTGGGTAGTGGTGTTAATAAAATGGTGCTCAGTGAAATATAACAGCTATTAAGTATATCTTAATAAATATACATATTATTGGGGAGACGAAACTTGAAAAAAAAAGAAGAAAAAAACGGCAAACACATAATTACCTTCCGAGTATTCAACGAGTATCCACATAAAAGAAAAGAAAAAGTAAAAATCCCCTGTAAACAACTTAGAGTTCACACCATTGCGATTGGCTGTTGGTCAACTTCCAATCAAATACGTGACAAAGGGGTATGGTTTACCTAATATAAGTCAGTGTCTGCAGGATATTAATTTAGATGGGGGTGCATCAGAGACTGATCAGCTCTGATGGGGTCGACTTGTTGAGGGGAGTATGTTTGAAAGACCCGGAACTGCCCAATGACCCAATTCAGAACATCACTGACAATGCCCTCTAGCGCTAAAGAGCGTATATTCAAAGTCCCGCTCCAGTAGCACGCCTCAGTTTTGCGCACAATGCAATCTTTAGGTGCTGATTAGATTATGTAATGGTCAGCCTCTACTCCGCACCTGAAGACTGCATTGTGCATGAAACTCAGTTGTGCTACTGGTACAGAATTATTTTATATGTATGTATGTGTGTGTGTGTGTGCGTACGTACGTAATAATCAATTTATTAAAATGTTTTTGAAAAAAATAGACTGAATCTAATAAATTCAGATCCTGAAATATATGTTATTGTGCATGTGGCAATGTAAATATTGGATTTATTGTTAAAAAAGTAAATTATGTAGGATATTGATTTTTGCACAATTTTCAAAATGATAATAAAAATCAAAACTTTTGTTTGTATCATTGTTTAATAAAACCAGTGTATGTGTGGGTGGTGTAATGGATAGCGGCTCCACAGGAGCCAAGTTCAAATTCCAGTTGAGTTCATTACATTAACTTACATGCAAATACTCTTCTCCTCTCAACTATGGGCTAAATGGTAGGATTTGTATCTGGAAAAATAAATTATTCTTACAATCCAAAATATGTTTCAGCTTTTAATAAGCCATAAAAAAAAAATCAATCGCTGTTTAATGAAAATATCTGAATATGTCCTTTTATGTTTTTATATTGCAAAAAATGATTTAACAAATAACATTGAAAATGATATAACTTTCAATAGATTTATGAATATATTTTTGTTTTCTGCACTAATTTTGATGTTTACTATTTTTAAAACTTTAACTATTTTATCATTTTTTTAAAAAAAAAATTTTCTCTCAATTTCAGTGAAGGTAGATGCCTCAATGAACACAAACTGTTTTTGATTGTGGTTGCCATCTATCAAGGCCTCTTATATCATCTGCATTATTATGTCAACCAATATGAATACACTCATTTCCTAATTATTCAGGTAAGTTGAATTGACACAGATTGGTAAGCATCCGCTATCTTTACAAGAGCCAGATCAGGCTGAAAATGGAGTACTGCTGCCATCTATACGGCAGGAGCTGCCCAGTCTTCACTTTACAGTGTGGGTAGTCCAAAATCATCTTTGTGTTTTGTGGGGGATAAATTATTTTCCATCCACAGATAAAATTTTGCAAGCCTCTCACTTCTCTATCACTATTTCTATCGAAAGTGTTCAAGTGAACTACATAGGTCCATTAGTTCTAATCTTCATGGCTAAGACCCGTATTTCATTGGTAAGATGTAAGTTCCACTCAAGTGGCTGCTTCCTACAAGGAACTGACTCCCAAAAGGATGCTTCCTTGATCACTACAATCTAAACCTGTTCAAGTCTAGAGTTGGCCATTATTTTCCCCACATATCCCTATAAACTGTTCCTCTTACTCTGTAACCTTCTGCCTGGAGTGTTTTTTGGGTCTTGTACAGAGAACATTATTGTAATATACACACACACACACACACATATATATGTAATGTGTGTGTGTATTTATGTCTGATTAAATAAATTATAAACATTATGCCTGCTTATTTTTATAATCCATTCATATTCACTGATATTTTTCTGTGTGTTACAAGTGATGCAAGATATGCGCTGTAACAGTGAAAATCAATTTTATTTCCCCAAGTACTTCCATCTCTTTCTGAGATCATTATCAGTGGTGCAACTATAAAGGCAAAAACTATATATAGCTATCCATTACTGAATTTTTTTTTTTTTTTTTTTTTTTGTTTAAATGCAACAGCTGACAGTTTTGCTTTAGCATTCATTAAAATTTTGTAATATACTTAATCAGACATGCCTAAAAGAGAATTTGCTGCTTAAATACACACACACACACATATATATATAGCTTTGTAAAATATTGAAATAATGATTAAGAGACAACTGTTCTAATGAAGCATTTGCGCTTAAAGATTCAAGAATTATTTTGAGATAAAGTAGGAAAAAAGTATCAATTATGAAGGTCCAGAGTTATCTTGAATTTGTTTTTATTCAGTCAAAGCCTAAAAAATCTGCAATTCCAACACTTAGAAAAAAGGCCAAAATAATTATATTATTATCACTGTCCATCATCTATGGCAATACAAACCAGCCTGAAGATGACTAAGACTAAACCATAACGTTGCCCACTGGAAGTACATGCAAAGACACCTATCCATGCAAATATGCACTGCAAATACCCCAATATTATGCAACTACTGACCAGAGCAGCCTCTCAAAACACTACCAAAGAGTTCTTACTACCAGTTGGGATGCAGCAAATTTTCTGTAATTTTTCATTCCTTTGGTTTAATATTTGCCCCAAGTTTTTAATGCCCCTTACCTTCTTAATGTAACTTATCTTATAAAATATTTACTGATTCTCTCTTTTTTTTTTTTTTTTCAAAATCTTTTAACCAGATATTTCACATAAACATTTTTTCTTCACAGCAAGCCAAGTTCTTCCACATCAAAAGTCAACTATTCCCAATCTTCATAGAATCAATTAAGCTTATTTTTAAACAACTGGTTATATTCTATCCTGTTTTTTATATTTTAGGTAAGTTGATTTATGTCATTATTTTCCTATTCGAAACAATCAGCAACATTGAGCATTGTAGGTCGCTGCTAACAATAACATTCCACTTAATTTTTAAAAGTTAAAAATAACTTTTCTTTTTCTTTCCTCTTACAAATTTAAAAAAGCATTGCCCTATTGTCATGTTTTTTTGTTTTTTTTTTAAATATGTAGCTTAGCTTCTATTTATATTCCACAAGGTATTTTCTCTTGTTTTGGGACCTGAATATTAATTCCTAGATGAGTTATGTCCCTTATATTTAAAAAAAAAAAAAATTTCCTATTTCAATTAAACCTCTAGTGTACATGTTTAATTAGAATAATTTAGGAATTTTTGAATTGATAAGTACTACTTATAATAGTAATACTGTTTTTATAATACTTACTAGTTTGTCTATGCCATAAAGTATGGCAGTAGTTTAAGTATGGTTTGGGGTGGGGGTCAATTCTTGTTACACTACTCTTTCACATAATGTAGGCACTGCTACCCAGCATTACCAGTGCAAGCAAGATAACTAACACAACAAAAAATACTTAGTGATATACATTACTATTAAAATGCAATAATTTTTCTAATACTCTACATTAAAATCCTTCATTTGAAAAATTTATTGGAATTTGCTTTTTGTACCATTGAAGTTTTTGTATTCATATCATATGAATCTGAATTACTTAATTACTACAATTGTTGTGAAGTTAGAATTTATTGTTTAAGATGTTTATATGTGACACACATTCGTTTAAGGAATATTCAGGAACCATTATACAATTTTACTGATACCAAAATATTGAATTTTAAAAATAATTTTCACAACACCACTTTGCATGCCAGCAGCAAAAGTTATTTGTAGTTGACAATAGTCCATTTATGCTTTAATTTGCATTTTTATTAATGCTTGGATACTTCTAAAACTTCAAGCTTTATTTCAACTAAAACATGATTCCCCCTCTTTGTCACACTCATGGTGATCACCTTAGAATATGTACACAATTCATCCTTGTACGCTGTTATATATGTACCAGTTCATCTTATCACAGTATTTGAATACCTATGACTACTTAACAAGAATGATTTGTCATGGCCGACTATGTTTATTCAAATTCATTGGATGTTTATTGACTAATTTCTAATCCTTAGGTCATCTTCCCAGAGATATGGCAGCTAGCATTTTGGGGCTTGAAATATCGTAAGTATTGCTTAATTGTTAACTAAAATGAATGAGACCAATTAAAAATAACTTCTGTTATTGTCATTCAATATCGAATGTCACTTAGTTGAGGTCAGTATTCTATCTTGTCATGGGAAATGCTGAAGATGCCAATTATCAAATGCAGTAAAACGGACTAAATTCTCTTTAACATTTGTTCTTAACTTCAAAATAAATATTTTAAAGATTTGTTTTGTGCTATATTCATAACCAAAACTGCATGAGTTCTTGGAAATGGTAATTAGTTTGTTTCTTACTTTTATTACACTGCTGTTTCTTTCTTCACATTAGATAGAATTTGTTTAAAACTTTTTCTCTTTAGTTGATTGCTTCCCTCTCACCTCTTAATATCATGTCCATTCAGACTTTGTTATCTCTGAATAACCATGACTTCTTGAGAAATATCATGGAATGGTTTCCTGTTGCCTTCTCTATGCTTTCCTGATTAGAGAACCCAGTTTACTCTGCTATTTAGTCCATGGTGACTGGGAGATGATGAAATGCATTCATGCCTTTCCCAAGGGCATTTGAGCAAAAGTGAATACAACAGATTACTCAAATTCGAACTTGGCTCACTGATTCTGCTTTCTGTGCCAATACCCATTACACCAACTGAACATTCATTGCCTTAATTATTAAATTAAATTCTCTCTGCACAGTTCTAAGTTTTTTGTTAAGCGATTGAGAATTTTATTGTAATCTTAAGATTAATTGTAGATTGACTTATGTTTATTGAAAGTAGATTATCACTTAACTGCTAAAATGCACCAAACAAAAATCTGATGTGTTGTATATCACATAGTTTTGAGAATATTGTGCATCAGATTTGCCAAATATGGAGCTTCTTTTTTTCTTTTAATAATCAGTTACTGTTGTTAGAAGTCTATACAGTTAGAAACGTCCAAGAAAAACTTGTGTAAATTTAAACTAAACAGCTAATCCCACACACTCTTTACAAACAGGAGCCAAAGTCAAACCAATCTCTTCTTTTCTTTTTTTTTTTCTTTCTTTTTTTTCTTTTTTTTTTTCTTTCTTTTCTTTTCCAGTTCAAATGCAAGTTTGTCAAGCATCAATAACCTTCTTCAGCCAGACTTGTTTCTGCAAGCTTTGTTATTAGGAACTTATGTTTACTTCTTGTGGAATTTATCCATTCTGCTGCTCAAAACATATATCACTGAGGTAAGCTGCCCTACAAAAGATGCATTTCAGTAATGTAAACTAATTGAAGATAAAGATTTACTAACTTTATCACAAAGGCAATATCTATCTTGTATTTTGTAAATAATTGCACAAAAATATTTACCCCAAGTTTTCTCTGCCAAAATGAAATTATTTAACATCAGCCAGAAATTTTAATAGTGAATATTTATTTCAAGCTACTAAAAATGGTTTTCCTTCTACAAAAACAAAATGTTTTAAGAAAGAAAAAAAAAAATTTATGATTACCAAATGAGCCCTGACAGATCGCTCACTCATTCTTTCACTCTCGCTTTCTCAACCAGTCTCTTTACCTTGTCTTTTTCAAATATATCTTTAAGACCTGAATAACTTACAAGGTAAAAAGTTTTGTTTCCTGATGTCATGAATCCTGGGTTCAATTCCTTAAGTGGTCAATTCACTGCCTCCCCAGAAAATTTTGTGGAAAGTTAACTAAAGCCTTCAAGAAATAGTTTCATATAAAGAGCAATATATCAAGTTCAATCCCTAGGAAGAACATTAACAGCATCATCTGCTTCCTTAGTAAAATTCAAGGTTTCCCTTCAAAGGTTTCCTCAACATATTGATACTGAAATTTGATAAAAGCTATAAAGATTCAATGATTGGTTAGAGAAAAAATAAGCTACTAATTAATGTTTTTTAAGTTTTCTTCTCTTGCGTTTTTCTCGAACTTTTTGGCTTTTTTCTTTCTGTCTACTTTGATCTTCAAAAATTTAAATGCAATGTCATTCATTATCTTCTGTCTTAATTCCTGTTTTATGTTCTTTCTCCTTAACATTTCTTTCTTTTTTCATATTCTCTCTAACTTGGTGGCCCCTTGCTTTATTACTTTGCTTGTGTTAATTGATTAAGAAAAAAAAATATATTAAAAACCTGAGGATGGAATCTTGTGTTTTTTGTTTGTTTGTTTTTTGTTTTTTTGTTTTGTTTAAATTGTGTGTGTTGCCATTTTTCAGAGTTATGAATTCAATATTGAATCAGGGTTTCAGTATCTCTCAAACAAATGTCTTCATAACGCACTCACCTGTAAGAATAACCCTTGGGTTCAGGTAAGGTGTTTTTTTTTTTTTGTTTTTGTTTTTTTTACTGAATATTTTTGATGTGGAGGAATCACAAATTTAAATTTGAGAACAAATTTAATGTTAGGCCAATACTATGCATTTAATTTAAAATAAATTAAGAATGAGTACAAGAGATAGCTGTAAGTAACTAATTTTTGCAAACAAAAAAAAATGTAATTTATTTTTAGTACTTATTGACATCAATCATGTAATATTTTTCTTATGAGTTGAAAAATACAATTTGAAATTAGTCCTATTGCTTTTTTTATCTGCTTGTGAGAATAATTTTGTATTGGTCTGCCAAAATCACTTTCCATGTTTTCCAGGATTCTGATATGAAATATTCTCATTCTGTGTTCTTCGCATTTTATTGTCTTTGTTAGGAAGCAAATTCTAAACACCAGATACAACATACATTATGTAGCCTTTGTCAGATTTTTCTGCTGAAGCATTATTATAAACATAAAGACAATAGTTTAAAAACATGAACAGCCTTTTCCTGTTTATGAATATAGAAAAATGTTCTATCCCTTTCAAACTATTGGCTTTATTTTTAAAAAATGTACTTCTTTATTCATAACTATTGTTTTGACTTTTTTTTTTTTTTTTTTTTGTAATATGGTGTAGCAGGTTTGCCTTGCTAGATCAATTATGACTGAGTATTGAATTCAATACTCACGGCCTTGTGCCACATCTAAACTACACTTGATAAATCATTATTTCTTATGTCTGTGGACATACTGTATTGTGACCGTCACTTTCATGCCACAATTTGGTCTTCAGAAGATTGCATTGTGGCAAAAAAATGACAGTCACCATTCCAATGTTAATTCTTATAGCCACATTGCCTATATCTGTAGATGCTCAATCTCCAGTATTGAACACACCTCTCCTATAAATATAGTAAATTACATGTATCACATTTATTTTTATTTTCCTTTTTAATGTAACTTTTCATCATTTTAATTTTTTTTTATTCCAGTATCTTGGATTCCAGGATTTATTCCAGTTGTCCAGATTTTCTTTTGCCCGACGACAAGTAATTTTCAGTGCTACCTTTCCAGGTAAATATCTTTTATTACTTGAATTTTTACTACTGCACCTATATCCAATTTAAAGTAGTCTATTTTCTTAATGTTAAATTACTTTAAAATAGAAATATGTAGCAGCAGATTTCCAGTATAATAATGAATGTGTCTTAAGTTAGAATCTTTAGTACATCTAAAATGTACTGTTAAATACTATTAAATATTTCTGAACGTTTTTTTTTTTATTAAATATCTCCATTTTGATGGTTAACAAAAATGTCAAAGTTATTAATGTCACTCACTAATAATTTATGCTAATTAAATAATTCTTTGCATTGCTTTTGTTACTGTTTTAGGCTGTCATCCTAAGAACTGGACAAAGATTTACCACACTTGTTTAGAGACACTGACTGCTTTGAAGGACTCTACTCAGGAATTCAATCATAATGCTTTTGTCTCTGCTGCTGTTCCCCAACACAACACTTCTAACTGGCTTATACAAAATTCAGCAGCTCCTGTTAGCCGTGAGTATCATGACAATTTAATCCTTCTATACTATTATCCCCAGTTAGGAAATGGATGTGTGATACTGAGAGAATTGTATGAACCACACCATAGTTTTGGGCCACAAGATAATGAAGACAGAATTGTAGTGTTCTATTAATAAGAAAACTTATTGTTGGTTAACTTGTACAACATATACTAGCTATGTAAATCTCAAAAGTTGTACTATTTACCTAACACTTAACAACTCTAGTCTATCATGTTTCTTGGTGTGGTGGCCACTGACTTGCCAAAATTCCTAAAGTATTATGTTCCAGCTTGGAGTCTCTGTCTACAAGCAAGGTCCACCACTGAAGTTCCTAATGGATGACAACACTGCATTCTGCAGCAGGGAGCTCTGAACCTTTGTGGAGGAGCATTTGCATTTCCACTGTCCACATGTCCTTGTATGAAATGAAATAATGAAACACTGTCATGAAAAGGATTGCAGCTAGGATGCAGTACACCATCTAGGAAGCCATACACTGGTGTGTGACCTCCAAAAGACAACTTCACCTGTAAATGGGATCCACCCAGACAGTTTAGCTAAAAGGGATTGATATGACCAGCATCAGGACTCAAGACAGAATATGGCCTACAAGGTGGAGAAACTCATCTGTGTAAAACTTGTTTAATGTCATTATTCAGTCTTTATTCAAATCCGTGTTAAAGGGTCTTATTTTTAGATGTCTGTCAATGAGAAATGTTATAATTTGCTTCAAAAAATAAAATTAGCCCGAGTTGAAATTAGAAAATCTACCCAAATGATATGAAATGATGTTCCCAGTGAGATGAAAAATACCTTAAGTTTAATTAGAGTAATAGCAAATTGAAAATTATTGTTGAAATACAACCCATAAATATAAAATTATAAAATCAACTCCTTTGATTGTTCTGATTTTAGTTTCAATCAGGCCTATTTGTGAAAGAATTGCTGTATATGAGCGGCATAATCATTACACATCTACACTTTTTGCCTACACAAGATGTCTTTTGTACAATTCAGTAGTGAAACGTAATGTTTGTATTTACAAATTGATCTCCCTCTTTGTGCAAAATATTAATTATTTTCATCTCTTTTTCAGGCTACATGAAGCCAACATCTGTGGGAAATATTAGTCTTGATGAAACTGGTAAGTTATAACATTTACAAGAGCTCATAATTTCCAGAAGTTCTTTATCTATTTTAATGTTTTGCACAACTTTAAATTGGTTTATTGTAGTTTAAAGAAAGATAGGATGGAGATTTTCTTTTTCAAATTAAAGTAAACTGATATTTGCTTCTCGGAAATAAATCATTCCTGTCAATGTTAATCATTTTCAATTTTTATATAAATTCATGAAATGTAAATAAAAATAACGAATTTTTGTTAAAAATTACTTTGCTGTAAATTCTTTTTATTTAAAATAACTTCAAAAATCTTGGTTGGAATTAAGTAGTATTTAATCAAGAAAAAAATGTTAATTTTGTTAATATTCTAAAAAAAAAATTTTATTCTAAAAACAATATGATATTGTTTTTTTGTTTTAAGGGTAAATACATATAGAATTAAGGTGACAAGTATATAAAATTAATAATTGCTAAAATATAAATGCAGTGTACATTTTTACATCAATAGGTTTATAGCCTAATGATGAAAAAGAAAAGCCTTTTATGTTGTATCACATTTTCGACATAATCTCTTTCCTTGTCAGTACACTCAATTTAGTAAGGAATTTTAATCACTAATCAAATCAACTGTAAATTGATTAAAAAAAAATGTTCCTTATATAAAGTATAACTATGCTACAGACATTGAATCCATTCTTCTGTGTATGTTTAAATTTCATACTAATAAAAAAAAATAATGTTATTATTTAAACAGCAAATGGTGCACTACACAAAGAAGAAAAAACAAAAATAAGCCTGTCAACCAAGGTAAGAAGCTTTTTATATTTATTTTTATTCTAAGATTGTTATCTATGGGTAGTTAGAAAATTATTAGCGGCCTGGTGTGCTTCCTAGAAATTAACTGATAAATGAAATCATGTTATATTTTATGTCATTTTTTCTTTAGAAAAAAAGATTGGTTAATTTCAAATTTATAGTTTTATAATCAAGTACAGGAATCAATCAATTAATGCACTTCGATTTGAAATTTTCTTTATACCAATTTCGATTAGTGCATGCACAATACTCGATTAATGTGGTAAAACATTCTTCAGTTTAACCATAGTAATTGAAAATTGATTTTCTTTTTATAGTTACTGCTCAATTAAAAATTTTCTAAAGTTTAAAAATGGAAAATTGGTAACTGTTTTGTTTATCAATTTTGTTTATATTTGATTAATGCATTTTCAATTAGTACATATCTTTTAATGTAGATATTAGCTACACTCCTGTATTGTTAATAGCTATAAGTTTTTAGACAAGATAAATATCAGTTTACAAAACTCAGGTTCAAGTAAAAGAAAATAAAGCTCAAGATGAATAAGGACTAAACAAAATGTTGTATTCTTTATATAAATATGAATCATTATTGTAAAATTGTATTTTACATTATTCAGATATGGGATGCTCTGAAGAAAAAACCTGTTTTTGGTTATTTCCTGCGTGACTTGCCAGATGCTACTGCACGTAAACTCTTCTCTTCTGTACAAATTCATATATGGGCTGTTGAAGGTGAGTTGTGATAAAGGCTTGGCTAAATTGCATTTCTTTTTCTTTTCTTTTTTTTTTTTTTCTAAATTTTACAAGGCTGTATAAAATATTTCTGCTTGCAAGTATGTAAGGAAAAAATGGTTGATCTTATTTGAACACTTGATCAATTTAACTCCTTGAAATTTACAAGGAGTTAAGGTAAGTGTTCAATTAGAAACAACCATTTTGTTTCTTGCATATTTACAGAAATATTTTTTCTGTATAAACCTATATAAAGAATACCAGATTTTTATAATGTGTACTTCATTTAAAATCCAATCCACATTATAGAAATCTGGCATTCTTTATATAGGTTTATAGAGAGAAAAAATTTATAGATTGCTAGCTGTAGCCCATTAAAGTCCACCATCCAAAATATGGGATAGTGGATGTTACTGAATTAAAGAATGACTAATAAAAATTCTAACTTATATTGTATAATCTCTTTAATTCTTATATTTGAATATGTTTCACAACTTTCCCTCAGGTTTGTCCTGTCTTGTAGCTGCTTCCCTTATTGAAGATTCTCTTGGAATTGTACAACAAAATCTGCCGCTTATACTTGATGTTCTGTTATCCTTGTATGAGGTAAGATTCATTTAAGCCTTGGATAATATTGAATTACATATATTTAGTATCAGTTATTTAAAAAGATTGTAGCTGTACATCTAGGAAAAAAATATCTAATTGCTGAAAAAGACAAATTTGAATAAAAATTCCTTAAGGTTAAGTTTTGAAATAAAAATTATGCAGAAATATGCATCTAAATATAGGACAAGAAAAGCATCCAATAAAAAATGCAAGGCGTGTAAAGTGCCAAAAAATGTTTTTTTTTTGTTGTTTTTTTTGTTTTTTTTAATGCACTATTGTCCACCTAATGCAAGACTCAAGGGACACTCAAGGTTGGAGGTTACAGAATAAGGTTATATGGCTGTGAGGGGTGAGTGCAGATTATGAGGATATCTGGGGCAGATCACATTTGACTCTAGTCTTGGAGAAGTTAAGATTGTAGTGATCAGGGGAGCATCTTAGGAGTTTCTTCCACTTTGTGGAAGAAAGAAAAGTGTGAGCAAAGGAAGAGTAGCAAAAGACTTTCAACATTTTGTCTGTTGTAAAGTGGTTGTTGAGTGGAAAATAATTCATAACTCACAAGGGTTTGTAGACACTTTTGAACTCTCTCAAGGATGAAAAGTGAGGGTTGGGTAGTTCCAAATTTGATTGAAAAGTGAATGTTATGCCTTTTATTGAAATCCATACCTTTACTTATAACAAAGAGTAAGCTAAATGCTTTATTTATATACATAATAAACTGTTTTACCTCATTGGAAATTTATAATAGACTAATTTTTAAAACATGTTAAATTTGGGGAGGTAACAGTAATTTTGATATTTAAAGTGTTATGTCTCAGTATACTGTTAGGACATTAATACTTTAGAAATGAATTCATTAGATTTTTTTTTTTTTTTTTTGTAATGGGCTACAAAAGATCTTAACAAGAGATGTTTACTTCTTAAAATGTGTAATTGTACCTTTTTTGTTATGAAGTCTTTCATGACAGAGTAGTCTAAGACATTTAGCTTAATGGTGTGAGTTTTCCCTAATGTAGAAGGGGATACGACCTTACCAAAAGGTACAATCTGGTTAACACTCCACCCAAGTCTTTTGAACAGGAGTAGAGGTTTATCCCTTGTTTTCTCTTTAGGATTGGGTTTCCAGTTCCTTCTCAAGTCTACTTCCACACTATACTTCTAACGTCTTCATCTGAACTCTGAAATTTTATTTACTAATTTTTTATTTTTTTTTTTAATTATTATTTTTCCTCAATAGGAATAGATAGGTTTGCCTATCATCCAGCTCACATTCCTCCCTGGTCTTTTGAACTGGAGTAGAGGCTTATCGCTTGTTCCTTGTTTAGGACTAACTCCGTTTCTTCTAAACTCTTTTTTATTCTCTTTCACTCCCAGTAGCCCCTTGCATTTTGTGACATTATCACTTTTGCTTAAAGTGAATTGATTAAAAAAAAACAAAAAAACTCTCAAATGCCCAGGCCGGTAGACGTGAATTACCATTAAAAATACAACACCCTGTAATAATCTACTCCTACTACTACAGTGGTGTGTATTCAAACATTATATTTATAGTGATAAACTCTTATTACAATAAACCATTAGGCATTTACCTCCCTTGTATAAAACACATCACAAATACAGTTTGAATTGATGTTTCACTTGTTATTCTACTGGAATGTATCATGTCTCCTTGTTCTGGGCTTTATAATTTTGACATTATCAAGATGAATTAGTCAAACATTAAGGTAAATAAATGTGCAGACACGGTGGAATTCACAAAATTCAATCGGAACAGTTTTCTTTTTTTTTTTTTTTTATCTTTATGAACAAAAAAAAACATCTTTTCAGCTAAGAAAATCTTTGACAAGATTTAAATATCTTAACTAATACATTAGAAACTAACATGAAAAAGAAATAAATTCATTGTTTAGTTATATGAAGGCTTAATGATTTCTCTTTTCTTTTTTCCAGAATGTAGAGAGACATTTCAAATTAACTTCTAATCTTGGACGACGAAGTCCAAACAATGTTAACACTTCCTATGATCTCATGTTGCGACATGCATTCCGTTCAGCTCTCAAGTCATCAATCTACAGGATTGTAACTACATTTGGCAGCTGCATTATGTAAGTAATTAGACTACTAATAATTTTTATTATCTACTAGAAATACCCAGGAAAATTTGACGATTTTCCTATTTGAAGTTTCTGATGAATTTTAATTCTTATGTTAACGATTGAATAAGCACATGGTGAGTTCTACAACAATAAAATATCTGTAGATATTCCCTTATCACATCGCTAGATATTTGAGCTTAACAACTTTAACAAATTATTGCAATAACAATCATAAATATTAATGCTGGTCGTTATTTAAAGAAGGATGAAAAGATTTGAAATTGATAAATTTTTCCATTTCACTGAAACTGACATTAAACAATTTTGTTTCCCTCTGAGTTTCTCACTAAAACCAAGTAGCATCACAGATATGTCTTTTCCATCTTTTCATGTGATCAAAGTGGAATAGTCCATTATTTATGAGGTACTAGCAGAGCGTAACGGTTGTGTTAACTATAATAAGATAGTTGCATATAAGTTTTAAGCACGTTTTTCTGCTGTGTATCCAAAAAGATACTGGAAAATTTTTCAGCTTGATGCACTTCACAAAAATTGACCAAACTTTTTGGGGGGGTGGGGTGACTTCTTGGTTGGATTGAGAACTCTCCATCACCCTCTTCAATTTATGCCACTATTTTTGCATCTACCTATTTGATACTTACATATTGGGCTTTTAAAATTCTACAATCACTAATAGTTATAAAAGATTCTGAAGATCACCTATATACTTTAGGAAGTTTGTACTATAACCTCTAATTTTTTATTTTTTTTTTAATTTCTTCTAATACAGTGTTCACTACGATTATTGCTTAGCATTAATAAGATTCTAAATCTTTCAGCTAATTTTGGAATTTCTTTATAAACATACAAAGTTTGTACATATTTTATCATTAAATTTATTAACTATATTAAAATAGATTACTTAAATATATGTTTTAGCTTTTTTCAAATTCTTCTATTCATCAAAAGATTTTAAAATTGTTTTATTTATCTTTTTAACAGGGATTTCCAGCTAGGCCCTGAACAAAAGAGACGCCTCAAATTATTCCTTGAATATAAAGAATAATTCTGGTTTTAACAAGTCAATTTTTGTAATGTACATATGTTTTCAATTTCACTCTTTGCTTTAAAAATCCATTTGCCAATTTATGACTTGGAAAAATACTATATTTAATAAATTCTGATAATTTCTCTATTTCTTTTTCTTTTCTTTTTTTTTTTTTCCCCCAAAATTGAAATATTTTTTTAATATTATCTTTATTGTACTGTGACTTGATTAAAGAACCATTACAGAAGATCAAAGAAATAGTCCCTTTACCAAAGAATGGCTGACCTTTATTACAATTCAGTCTCCTTGAAATTGTTTCTTTAAAATGTTAAAGAAATTAACAAATGTGCTTTATGCAGATTGGCAACACCTGCAAATATCTTTGTAGGCAAAATACATTCTAATCGATAGTTATATGCTTACCAGATGAGATTTCATCGGATATCTGTTGTAAAAGAAAAGATGTTAACTATTTTTTCACTAATGATTTGAAAGCCTTCAGTGATATGTTTTAAAAAAAAAATTGGTTATTAAACCTACAAGTCTAAAAGTAACAAACAAGTCATGGCAATCAGATAATAAAAAAATTGAAATTTGTAGGGAGCCTGTTCACAGCTGTTTGAGGTTTCCTACAGACCCACTGAACTTAAATAAAGTCAATTCAGGTTTCCTATGGTAAAAATTTTCTTTCCCAAGTGAAAATCATCACAAAAATAGCAAAAGTCATTTTGTCACAGCTTATTTTCTCTCAAAATATGGGTTTTCATACTTTTTTAGGGGTAAAATATTGAAAAATGACTGTTTTATCATCACCTAAACGAATATCAAGGAAACTTTTGATCTGAACCCCATGAAACTAGGTATTTTCTGAAAGCAAAAGATATATTCTTTCATTTAAAAGTAAAATTAGCTGGTGTAAATGACTCAAAAATTTTTTCAGTGGGTAAAATGTGAAAAAATAGTGAAAATTTTGCATTTTTTTCTTGTTCTAAACAAATATTTCCCCCATTAATGGGAAATTAACCATTTTTTTTTTGAAAATCAGAAAGCCTAGATCATAATCAAACTATTTCAGGCATAAAATTGAGAGTTTTGAAGGAAATCAACATTCCGAGGGGTTCAAAAAATGCGACAAAATCCATTGTTAATTTTCAATTATGACTGCCAAGGGTTAAAAAAATTGACACCTGGCCACGGAAATCTTTAGTAAAAGGCAAGAGATTTATCTGCAATTCCTAACCACCAGAAACCAAAAGTTTGTTTTTTTTCCTAAAAATAGTGATAAGGGAAAATAAACCTAATTGACTTTGACGTCTAGGTCAAAGGCCAGCCAGCCAGCCAGCCAGCCAGCTAGCAATAAACGGACGGCAAACCTTAGAACAAGTTGTAATAAAACCCACCACTCCCAGATAAAAGCAAAGGGTGAATAAAAAAGGGTTCACAATTACTAGGGCTTCATATAACCTATGTTTGAACAATGGCTTGATAAGTTTTGTTTTTTTTAACACCCGTGACCGGGTGATGACAACAACACTTAGCAGAGAACATTGTTTTTTTTTTTCGCCAGATATCTTTTGTATTTCCCATCGCCGGTCCATTTAGCCTTTCTTTTTTATTCAATGATGTTCATGCCAAATGAAAGAGAAAGGAATGAATTTTGAATGATGTTATTTTGAAGCGAAAATGAATATTTTTTCATTAAAAAAAGGGGATTTTTCTCAGAAAATTGTGCATAATTTCTTAATGCTAACCGCCGAGTGACATTTTCCACAGCCAAATCAAGATTAATTACCAGTGAATAATTCCATGTGCAAAAAATAGCCGTCTGGATCCTATAAGGTCGCCCTAAAAGGTCCAGAAGTTTACTAATTGATCGAAAACCTGTTGCGCATAATTGTATTTTTCACGGTCAGTTTCCATTATTTCATCTTGATATTATCATTTTCGGACAGCCAAGTCATCAAGGATTCAGGAAAACACTTTGACATAGGTTTTCTTTAAGAACTTTACATTCTATGAGGTGTTTAAAATGTTACTGACGAATGAGATTTTTTGCCGCATATTTCGTTTACGCGCCATGTTGGATTTTCCTATATGACAAAAACAAGGGTTTTAAACAGCTGTGTGTTGTATAGATCACACAAAACCATTTGACAAGGCATAAGGACTGCAAAGAAAACAAGATCTATTTGGGAAGGATATTACAATAATCCAGAACTTATACTGGGAGCTTATATTGTGTGCCAGAGGGAGTTTGGGGATGGGGGGTATATATATTTTAGTGAAATTGGGTGGATTTGAAATGCAAAATTAGACCAGAGCATTTTTGTTTACTGTTGAGTAAATTTGATCTAGGGCAGAAGTTGTACCCATTGAATCTGGGTCATCAGTAGACAATGGAAATGGTTGAAATAATTTTTATCGATTAAAAATTGAAATAGAGCTGAGTAAGCAAGGAGGACCCTTAGAATTCACAGGATTTTGGTTGAAGCAGTCAAAACACCATGATAATCAGGAGTAGGGCCAGGGTTCAGTTGTAACCAGCCAGATTTTTCTATATAAACACGTAGTTATGCTGAAGAAGAGACAGTTAGGCGAGCAGGCAGACAGAAGAGAATTAGCAAGAGTTGGGATAGACACAGTGGAGAGTCGAGTTGGAGACTCAAGAAGGACAGAAAGTGATGTCAGAGGTTGGAATGAAGCGTCCGCTAACATGTGCTGTTGATATAAGTACCGCTGCTTTTGCTACCACCAATATTACTACTACTGCTAAGGAGGAACGCCACTATAAACTTTAAGCTGCGCAAAGAAATCTTATTCCCCCATCGCAAGAGTCGTATATTGTTCTCTCTCTCTGTGTCTAGAATCCAGTGTATGCGTTTTTACGTTAATTACTTTTCTTTTCTGTAAGCCATTTCTTTTCTATACTATTCTTTTCTGCTATATAAAAGACATTAACAATTCAATCATTGAATAGGTGTTTGTCTGGCTTTCTGCAGATAATTTTTTTTTTTTTTTTTTTTTTTGCATTCTAAATTTCTTAGCGCAGACTCTCCAGCCGTGTCTACATCTTCAGTCAACCATGAATGGATGAACATCACTTCTGCTTTCTGGATCAAACCAAACACAACGTGGGCAGGAAGCAGGATTAAACCAGTAAACTGGTCGAATAATCTACAGATACTCAGAGGACCTACAGCCACTCGCTTAAGTTCAGTTAGGACCGAGTAGACACCTCAACCCAGAGAGTAAGATGTCGGAGGTTGAGGGTTTGGGGCGAAAGTGTTAGAATTGTACAGCCTCCCAATAGATGTCTGTCTCTCCTGCATGCATGCCTTAGATAGCCAAAAAATTGCCTTATGGCAATCAAAACTCTGAAGACAGTCCTGTTCATCAGCAGCTTTATTGAAGGCCAAAAGAGTGAAATTATAAAAAGTAATAAATACAAATTTGTGAATACTGTCAGAATGTTGGACAATTTCCCCACGGATGAGAAAACTGGAGGCAACAGAAATGTGGTTCTACAGATGGATATTGAGAATTCCATGGATGTAACAAGGAAACCTCAAAGAAAATTGTAACAAAAAGAACAGTTATACTCAGAATTAGGCAGCTGAAACTCCTTGAACACATAATGAGGAAGGTGGTATTGGAAAACTTAACCTTCAGGGTATATTTAGGACAAGGGAGGGAAAGGCAACAAGACATCTACTTGATGAGCTTGTATGAATAGATGGCAGAACAGGGGTAGATAGGAGCCTTAGCAAAAGTAGAAAAATTACTAAGGACTACAGGGAATAAGAAGTTTTGGTAAGCCATGATCACCTATGTCCTGAAAGGGTGTGGCACATAGAAGGGAACCATGATCACTTATGTCTTAAAGTATCATTGCATTATATATATATAATATAAAATGGGAGCTGGTAATATACATATATTTGATATGTAATAATAATTTTTAAATAATTTAAGTAATTCTGTTACATTTATTTGTTTTAAAAAGAAATATAGTCTATTAGTAATTAAAAGTAAAAATAATATTTAAAAATTGTAGTTCAATATAACATATTCTAATCCCCTTTTAGAAAGAATCTTTATGTATACAAGTATGAATTTAATGGAAAAAAAAAAATGCTGAAAAACTTTTTGTCATTGATAAAAAACCAGACAACATGCGTTGAACAGATGTCATAATTCATTGAAAAATGCACCCCTACCTATACTTAACCTCTTTTTCGAACGTAACTCATAATTGATACAATAATAGTTAATAAGAATGAACACGCTACCACCTCTGTCTAAATGATTGGCTTTCTCTGTATACTTAGAAACAAAGAATTATGAATGTATACACTTTTAAACCTCAGTAAATTTAAAAATAAGTTATTCCAAAATTCTCTTGAAGAGGGAACAAAACTAATGCTTTTAATTTAATTATATAATAAAATTTGAAATTTTTAGCTTTGGTTTTTGAAACATGGTAATTCCTGTGTAGCGAAGGAACCATATTTTTAAATCGGTTAATTTATAATATTTATGCTCTGTAAATTTACATTGAGCACTGTTTTGTAAAATATCAATAACAATACCCGGATTATATATCTTACTGTTTTTTCTTTTTTTTTACTAATATATATATATATATGTTCCCCACCCCCAATGCAAATGAGAGGGGAAAATTGATTGGTTTATCTACTAAGGTACCAGCTTTTCACGGACTTGGCAGGTAAGGTAGTATTGAGAATTTATACTGCTGATAAGTATCATGTCCCCCACCTCCCTAAAAAGATTAAAAGCAAAAGAAATTTACCAAAACTCTGTAGAGAACCAATATGTCAAGCCTATTACTTTCTGCATAGGATTATTGAATTTCTTTGGCTTAACACACTTGCCAAATTTTATCTCTTCATCTTTTGGATTAAAAATTCTTGGTTGGACTGAGAATGTTTCAGCACCCACTTTTATAAACAGTGTTTAACTTCTCAATTAATTTTCCAAATTTCATTCAATTTTTTAACACTTTTATTTATTCTTTTTTTTTGGGGGGGGAGGGGGGTGTTGAAAATTATCTAACCCTTATACATAAGCTTGTATATCAATCTTGTAGAGATGTGATATTTATCAAATATCCAGCAAATATTAAGCTTTTTTTTTTTTTTTTTTTTTTCCTCTTTGTTGCTGACTATTTTGATTGTACTAAGTCATACTAGTTTTACAGAATAGTAAATTCCTTACATATGTAAGTTAAATTAATGATAGATGCATAGACATCATAGCTACATTATTATATTAAAGGATTGTGCCTTTTGTAAACTTCAAATGAAAAGAAACTGAAAGTTAACATAATACAGCCTAACAAGTTCCATCTTGCTCAAGGGCTCCCACCTTCATAAAAAAATGACTTTATTACATTGCACTTTCAATACTTTGTAATAAAATTTGTTTTTAATGATTGTGTGTGGTTCAAAGTATTAGTCAATCACTAAGGTAATGTCCTATTAAATGAAGTTCATGGCAGGATTTATCAAAATTAGTCAGCTGATTGAATTTCATTTTAGATTAGATTTTAACTGAGATATTACAAAAAAAAAATAATGGGATTTACATGATGGATTTAAGGAGTGTCAGAAAATTAGTTCTTTATATTATTGAACCTTACAGGCCTGATTAATAACAAAGGAATTGATTTCATAAGTTTAACCCAAGAATTGTCACCTAGAATGGCATGTGGTTATTTGAGTCTTTGAAGTGACCTTTTACAGCAAGAAATTACTATTGAAAAAAAAAAATATGTATACCCTCACAAACAATTTAATTGTAAAATACCACACTTAAATTACAACTGGATTACAAAAGGCACAACTTTCCTTAATCAATTTCTTATATCAGGTAGGTGTAATTAAACTTGCATAAAAGAAGTTTCATTTTAAATGTTCCTTTTGTTAATAGATTCATCCCCAAAGGAGATTAATGTTATTTGTTAAGCAACAAAAGAAAAAAAAATGTTTATATTGAAGGTATTAGTAGAAATCAAAATTTTTCTTTTTGTAATGTTAATAACCTTTTTCCTTTTTTGTAATGTTAATAACCTTTCTTTCCTTTGAATATTAGTAGCATTTCTTTCTCTTGAATATTCATAACCTCTCTTCTTTTCCCCCCCCTTTTACATTTTCTTAGCATAGTGATTATTTGTTAGTCTCTGATATTGCAAATAGTATTTAAATATTTTGATGCAAAAGTCACCTGTACATATAAAAACAGACAAAACTGAAATTACTCTGAAAACTTGAAGGTAAATATTAATGAAATATGATGTGCTCAGCAATGAATGTATTAAAAAAGATTTCATTGATAGTTTCTATCACTTTTGACTTTTTCATTTACTTATCTTGAATCTGATTAATGTTAACTTTTAACTTTTTACAGTAATCCAACTGTTTCAAACTCAGATTAAATGCAGTAAACATAAAAATCAAATGTTTTTGTTTTTTTTTCAAATTAACTTAAAGGATTTCTCTGGATCCTGTCTTCCCATTTAAAATTCTCTACTTGTTCAAATTCTAAGTTATTTAAATTCAGAGATTCATTTTGGGTTGATATTCATCTTATCACAAATTTCTCAATCATACCTTGCAATCATCAAAGCATGAAATTGAAATAAGGGAGTAGCTTCTAATTGAGTAAAACTCAAAACTTGCTTCCCATATTCCTGAAACTCCTCTTTCCAATTCAGCTATAGATGTCTCAAGAGAGACAAGGTACAGAATTTGATGAATTAATACTGTTCAAGTCCTCTTCATAACTAGTAATTTTAAACTGGAAAAATTTGTTTAACAAACATACCCATAATACTTGGTTCAAAGGATGATTTTTGTCTTGACACCACTATTAATGTATAATCTCTCAGAAATTTTTATTATTTAAAAAGAAAATTTTTTTTGAGAATTAACAAAAATGTTATACTATTCTTGTCAATAAATAATCTAATAGTGTTTAACATTTTTCATCTTTTTTTTTTTTTTTCAAAATTTATAATTACAGTTAATTGTCTTCTTTCAATTTTCTTGTTCAGACTTTTTTATAAATTTATGAATAAAAAATTATAGCTATTTTCCTATAACATTGTAAATAATAAATATTGCATTGCATTGTAATTAGTTCACATTTTTCTAATATTGTAAATATAAAATTATTGTTAATAAACAATCTAATAAAATAAATAGTTTAATATTTTTGTTGTCACTTGTCATGAATGCAAAAATCCAGTTTCATGTTTGAGTTCTGTTAAAATTCAAAAGATCGCCTTTCTAAAACAACAAAAATGGCTGCAGAAGTATTTTTTTTTTTTTTTTTTTTTTTTTTATTTATCATTTCACCCCAAACAAGGTGGGAGAGTCACTAGTACACAAGGGGTTACAGAGAGTGAAAGTGAGAGAAAAGACTGGGTATGGGGGGGATTGAGGAATGGGTAAAAGATGAATGGGCTTCAAACTGACAGAAGATGGCGATAGATGTTGCATTTAAATTTTTGGAGATTGTAGTTTTTGGGGAAGCAAGTAAACAGAAAGGAGTTCCACTGTTGGGAATTGCAAGAAAAGAAACTGTTGGAGTAGAAGTGGTGGTTACATTTCACTATTTCAACAGGAAAATGGTGGGACCTAGATGCCAATCTAGTAGCATTCTTAAATTCAGTAGTCAGGGCAGTTGCCATGAAAATATTTGTAATAAAGCCAGAGGGAAGCTACATCACTTCTGTGATAAAGTGACTGAAGTTGAGATGCCAGATCAGGATCGATTACATTGCAGATCCTTCTTTGGATTTTGTCAAGAATCTCGAGATGAATAGCAGAAGCACCAAACCAGATATGGCAACAGTATTCAATGCACAGCCAAATGGTGGATTTGTAAATGTGCAAGATGGATTCTGATGAGAAAAACCTTCTGGCATGACATGATGAACCAACTATGGATTAATTAGTAAGAATCATTACAATCTAAAAATATTTTCTGGCTTTAGATAACCTAAAAAAGGTTGATATGCCATAAAAAAACAAAATCAATCTATTGCTCTTTCTATGGCAAATATTCAAGTGAGCTCCATTCTTAGTCCAGACCTTTACAGCTAGGACACACTATGCTACTTCCACAGAGTCGAATCACCTACATTTCCCTCGTATTCAATTTGGAAGGAGAAAGCCCCACTCAGTCCCCCACCCCCAAGTACTGCTACTCCGGAACAGTCTTCCCTGAACATTACAATCTTAACCTTTTCAAGTCAAAGGTCAATCATTTTCTATCCTTGTCCACATTATCTAAATATCTTAAACTATTCCTGATTGTGGTTGCCAGCTCTTATATCATCTTATAATAATAATGGCTGGCCACTCGTATCCAAGTATGTTTGTCTACTAGAGCAGCTAGCCAAATCCCTGTTGCAGACGCCTACTCAGGCACATTTGTGTTTGTTCAATACCAACAGAGCCTACCTCTGGTTTATACTGCAACTATGATGAGCAGACCTTAGTTACAGTTTCTGAGAGAAAGCACATTATCTAGCATGATAAACAGTCTGAACAAGGCCAGTGCACTCAAACCCTCGGTCACAATGACTTGTGACTTTGTGCTAGCACTACCATCGATGGCTCCTGAAGAGTTCAATCTACCTAATTTCCCTCACAAAGCTTAGGTCAACCTGTGGTATGGTTTTCATGCACTTTCTAAAGGTGCCACATGGTCACCTCCCCCAGACCTTCCTGATGATATTTGAACCTGGGTCTCATGGTTAGAAAGTGAACATTCTAACTACTCAGCCACATGCCCAGTCTTCACTTTTTAGTCTTGATAGAATCCAAAAGCATCTCCACGTCTTTGCAGATGATGAATTATTTTCCAACCTGCAACTCCTTTCCCACAGACAAAACATTGCAAACCTCTTGCTGCTCTATTGCTATTTCCATGGAAAGTGTTCACACAAACTACATTCCTTAGTTCTACCAGTTTTAACTTTCATAGCTAAAACCCATGATGCCATGCACAATATAGCAAACCACCCTCATTCCCTTCATAATCTATTGATGAGATGTAAGTTCAACTTGAGCAGCTTCTTCCCACAAACCACTACATTGTGGAACCGACTCCCAAGAAAATGCTTCCCCAATCACTATAATCTTAAACTGTTCAAGTCTAGAGTTAACCATTATCTTCCCTGCATAAATGTTCCTCTTCCTCTGTAAAATTTATGGCCACATCATGTTGAAACACCAGTTTCTGTACAATCACCGAAGTTAAGCAATGTCTAGCCTGGTTAGTATTTAGATGGGTGACTGTTTGAGAATATCAAGTGCTGCAAGCTTAGATGTGTTGGGGATGTAATGGATAATGACTCAGAATAGTTAATCGGAGAGGCAAGTTCCAATTCCAGTTAGGTTTGTTATATTCACATACACACAAATTACTTTTGGGAAAGGTACAAATACACCTCTTCTCCCCACAATTATGAATTGATTAGTAAGACTTGTCTCACTAAATCATTATTATCTCCAAAAAATAAATTCTTACAATGTAAAAATATTTTCTGGTTTTAGATAACCTGCAAATGGCTGATAAACTGTAGAAAATAAATCAACTAACCAAAAATAGTCCTATTCTGTAACCCTCTATCTCAAGTGGCTCTTGGGCCTTGTACAGAGTGAACATTGTGTTAAAAAACAAAAAAAATGCTGCTTTCACTGATATCACACCACCTATTATAACCATTTTATACTTTGAGTGCCTCTTGAGCCTTGTATTGCATAAATTTTAATATTAAAAACTATGTGAGGTTTCATAAAGTTCTGAGTTTATTCTAAAAATGCTTAGAAAACAATTCTTGGTTAGATTTAATACATTAGCCACTTTGGATATGAAAATTGTTATACAATTTATTGCCTCTTTCAAATTCTGAATGGTTACATTTCAATAATATTAACCTATACACTTTGAACATTGTTTTCCTTTAGAATTGTTTGCTAATGGCTAACTGCAAGACCCAAATAATTTTGCTATATTTGTGTACAGTTGTATCAATAAAAGAGATAAGTAAATAAAATCTGAAAATATGCAAAATGTTTTTTTGTTTTTTTAAATCATTTCACCCTAAGCAAGGTGATAAAGCCACTAAGATTCAATGGGTTTACTGAGACTGGAAAAGTTTGAGAAAAAACATTATTAAAGAGAGAGGACAATAAAACAAACAGAAGCTGATGGTTGGTATTGCATTTAAATTTTTGAAGATCAAAGTTTATACAAAAGCAAGAAGCTGGAAGAGAGTTCCACAAGTGAAAAATGTGAAACTGTTAACATCGAACTTATGGTTACATCTAGCAATTTCAGCTGAAAAATGATGAGACCTATCTGCCAATCTAATTCTCTTCAGGATGCTGGTGATCATGGCTCTTCACATTTTCCTGTCCTTTGTAAAACTGAAATGGTTTCATAATAATAGGCCTTTCAAGATAAATTTTTCTTTTATGGTCACAATGTAAAATGATTTGATATCAAAAGTTAGCAGATATTTTTGATGATATTCATAAGATTGGTCCATTAGGCTGAGTCATAAATAATTTCCATTTTGGAGGGAATCAATTGTAATGAACGTATCATCCTAATGACTAATCATGCGTAGCAGTTAAAAATAAATTTGGAGTACACTAACATTCTTTAATTTGTGCAAGGCAATGGCAGCATACACAGAGGATTAAATGAAAAGTGTTATTCTTCATGGTAACACAGGACTGCATACAGCAAGTATCACACTGGAAAAAAAAAATTTAGAATTCAGGTGTTCCATCATGTCAATCCATCATATTTACCTAACTTTGTATCAACTGATTATTGCCTTTTTCATTGGCAGTAAAATACTTTGATGGGAAAAACTTTCTCTAACGAAAACTAGAGTTTATTGAAAATATTTCACCTTAAAACCTGCAGAATTTCACTCAAAAGGTATCAAGGAGTTGTCTGATTAAGTGACAACAAGTCATCTCAAATAATGGTGAATATAACTGAATAAATTGTAACTATTTTTTTTTTAAAGAACAAAGTTGATAAACAAAAATTATTTATAACTCAACCTAATATATATTTTAAAAGTGATATTTTTCATTTTTTAAAATTAGTTTTTGAGTTATAAAAACATTTTTTTTTATAGATGAGTAAGTATATATTTTACAAGTACAACTTTAGCCACAAAAACACTGTCCAGGTTTGAAATTATTTTTTTTTCTATGTTAGTTTGGTCTTTTGAATCATTGACTTTATCATAGTATTAATAATTTGTTGTAGTCACAAGCCAGTAAGATTCTCATAACTAATACTGAAAACTGCATTTTATTTATATTTTTACATCAAAGTTATTGGATGTAAAAGCATTAGTGTTTAACTGGATGTATCTTTACATAAGCTGCTTTATTATTTGAAATGGACATGTTTCTGGAATAGGGAAAGTGCATATATCTTAGAAAATGTCATTACTCACAGTTTAAAGGAAGAAAGTAAATACAAGCACATTGACTTGAAGTTGAAATGAAGTTTCAGATTTCAGTGAGTTTTTTGAGCAGTAACTTCTTTGCTTGTATTTGGTTTAGGTTTGTGTAGACCAGCTTGCATTTTTAAATTGACTGACTACAACCTATTGCAAAATCTTAGTTTCTTTTAGGGCATACAAACAGGTTTTGAACTTCATCAATCAACAGTAACTGGTGGAAAATTTTCATTTTATACCTTGTAATGTTTTTTTTTTTTTTGTTTTTTTAATATGTCTGTAAATATTTAGTTTTATTCCTGGAAACTGTTCTTTTTATGTGTTTTTTTATGTTAGCTATTTAATTGAAACATTTTCAATATTATTACACCTTGATATTTAAAATGCAGAAAAAAATTGTGCAAGTTATTAAAAAATTAAAATAATTCACTGAACAGTGAACACATACATCTGCCAATATAGTGACTATCGATATTTATTTATTATAGCAAATGAGTTGCTATTTGTATGTAAATCAATTTTTCTTTTATTTTTATTTATTTATTTTCATGCTTCACTAAATAATATAAAATTATTGAGAAAAATATTTCTATGCTATTAAAAAGCTTGCAAAATAAATTACGTTTTCAAAATCAATAAAAAAAACTAAAAAAAAGTAGTATTTCATTTTTTTTTTATAAACGATTTCTTTCTCATCGATTACATTTTTCTTAATTTTAAATTTTAATTATTTATTAAGAATGGTTGAAAGTAAAAATCATCTTTAAATGTTTCTATTCATCATGAAACTGTAAACAAAATCTTCGAAAATATCAACTAAATTCGAATTTTTAGAAACCTTTAAAAATATGGCTTCTTAGTAGCTTCCTTAACAACGTTCCTGTCAACAAGTTTTATTTATTTTTGTCTTTTGTATATTTTCTGTATTTTTCGTTGTTGACATTTTTTAAAGAGAAGAATAATTTTTAAAATATTGAATTTATTTAAATTAAATGATCGAAGCAACAATTTTTATTTTTTTTCTTATTTTATTTATTTTTTTTGTATATGGATAATTATTTTTTTATACGTCTTCTTTATAATTACTCTAATTTATTTAATTTTCTTTTTGTCGAAATCTTTTATTTTTAATGTTAATGCATTTCCAATTTGTCAAGACATGTTCAGTTCAGAGTCCTTTTTAATGGCGACAAAGCCGCCATGTTTGACATCAACAACACAAATTGTAATTATCGGTATATTTTATCTTTACGCCTTCGTCATTGTATTTGTAACACGACAACCCGAATGTCTGCTGCTTTAAAAAAAGAAAAAATCAGGTACAATAAGCGTGTTTCTGAAGAAGACGTACTGCTTGCCTTGGCCATACCGCTGTCTCTTCTTTCATTCTACCTTCTTTATGTATTCGCTATGGCAACAGTTTGTGTTTACAACTCAAATTCAACTTACGAAGAAAACAATAATCCATATGTCGTCCAATTCCAACCAAGATTCTTTTCTTTTTTATGTTGATAATTAACCTGGTGCTTTACAGTTTAAGAATATTGTAACTTTGCTTTTATTGTCTATAAAAAAAAGTATTGTTTAATTAAAACTTTAGGCAATTATTAAATTAGCTCAACATCGGAGAAAATTATTATTATTAATAATAATAATAAATACTGTAAAGCTGGAGTTTTAAAGAAAATCACGAAAATTTGAACAAAACTCAGTTAAATAATAAATGAAATTATTATCTTCACTCAATAAAATAATGATGTTTTTTGTTTATTAATCCGATTTTACGGTTTTTAATATCGTCTGTCGTTTTCTAACGAAAAAAAAGCCGACTTTAGGGGTTTTTTTTTATTTTTTATTATTAAAAAATATTGCTAAAAATAAAAACACTTCGTTTTGTTTTTTAAAACTGTTTTTATTTTAATTACAAATATTTTTAATCGAATTCATAGAATAAAATTTAAAATAAACATCACCGAATTCAAAAAGGATATATTTTTCTAGTTTGTCCACAATAAGTTTTTTAAAGGCGTGGGTCCGATCAATCACATTTACAATGTGATCTGCTACAAAAAAATTTTTAAAAAAGTAGGTACCATTTTATACTAAAAACAGATGGAACTACATTGTACAGCACCCTGGATTATCGAACTCACCAATAAAGATGTAAAAATATAAAGTTTTTTTATTTACATTTTTACAACGAAGACAGCTTGAAAAAATCTAGCATTTGTTTAGTGCCACTTGAAAAGCCCAGAATCAAGGATGTGGGGCCGTGGCTCATTTGGCAAATCTTCTGAGATCCTTAGACCTCGGTTGGCTTTTAAGTAACTTTTAGTTTTAAAACATCCTTTATTTTTCAATGTTAAAAATTGCGAATTATTTTCTTTTTTGGCACAAAACAAAACACTCGTATAATCACCTTAAGTTAAATTAAACCGAACTTGTCAAGAAGGCTGAAGGATAATCTCTAGCACCGATCCATACGGCACACAGTGAGAATCGAATTCTCTACACTAGAAATAGACAGGCATGTTAAAATTGATCATGTGACGCACTAAGGATGTGTAGAAGATCCTTATTTTAATTTAAATCTTAAAATAAGAAATATCGAGTTCATTAAATTAGTAAAAACTAGAGTAAGACTGTAGTGTAAGAAGAAGACTATCTCTGGTTTTATGTCAAAACTGGTATCTAGAAAAAAAAATTGTACACTAAGTTTAGTCTGTGCTTTGATCAGACAGAGTATTTTATTTTTAATTTAATTTCATTTTTTTTAATTTCTTTTTAGTGAGATGAAAATTACTAAACTGTTATTTCAATTCTTATTTTCAAATTCCGCTGAAGGAATAATTTAAAAAAAAAATCTAATCAATAATTTAGCATTTTTTTTTTTAAGAAAAAAAATGATAAAATTTGATGTTAAATGAGTTTTACCTTCAAATGTTGAAAAAAAATTAAAACAAAGAGAAATCTTAAAATAAATACAGGATAAGGACAGAAACATTGACCAGCCGTCCTTTAAAATTGTATATATTCAGTTAAAAAATATTTATATGCAATTAAAATTTTATGTGACCACAAACAGGCCAATATATCAGCAATGAGTTAGTTTTCCAAGATTGTATTTATTTTATCATTTTTCTTAATTTAATTAAACAAGTCAAATTTTTAGCTCTGTAAAGATGTAATTTTTTTTTTCTTCATCTTTTTACTTTTGACCCACTTGAAATATTCGAACTTAAATCATTTGGATCAGTTTGAAGATTTTGATAACTTGAAATAAAATTATTCCCTGGAATAAAAAAATTAAAAAACAAAAAAAAAACTTATATGTATGTCCCTTTTCTCTAAAAATGGATTTCTTTAATATATGGATTAACTCATGAGAGGTTTTTGTTTGTTTTCTTTTTTTTTACTTTGAAGAAATAATTCTAAATTCCGAAATATTGAATATTATAAATTATCGAAAAAGAATGAAGAAAAAAGCCATCTTGTAAAGGAAATTTAACATTTATATTGTCAAATAACATTCTTAATAACTTTGTTCAAGGCTTGTCCAGTTTATTTTTATGAAAAAAAAAACAAAAAAAAAACATCAGTTTTTGTCGGTTTCCGGTTGGTGTTACATTAGTAAATGTTTTTGTAAGAGTAATTTCTGGTTGAAAGCGCTACCAATTTAGACATTTGTCAAACTCAAGGATAATTATTGCTTTGATGTTTGAAATGGAAATTTCGAGTGGGTTTTCTGAATTCTCAAGTTTGTCTGAGACGAAATAGAATTTTTTTTTTCAGTTAGTTATGTGCCATGAGTGATACACAGGCGATCATGTATCTTTCGCTACATGACTGACGAGGCAGATTTTTTTCCCCGCTGTAGGTTGCTATTTCTTTCTCCGGTAGACCAACCAAGGCTATAGAACTCGGTCTGTCCTGCTAATTACCCATGGGAGCTAGGGGTAGAAGAGGATTAATTTCATTAAAGGGTATTAGCACGTAAGTGAATAAATGATATGGATTCGACTGGAATTCGAACTCGGCCCTGCTATTCCTCAATCTGAGCCGCTATCCATGTTTTTTTTTTTTTTGTTTGTTTGTTTTGTTTTTTTACTTTGGATGATTTCAGTTTTTCTCTTCATCATCTGGATAATCGAAGTCTGGAAATTCAAGGAATTAAAATAAATCAATATTTAATTTTAATATATCAAGACTTATTTTTCACTTCGAGTTAAAAAGGAACTCGCGACAATTTTTTTTCTTTAACTGGTATCAACAGATGAAATACTTACATTTCATTTAAAGCCTTTAAGGAAGCTAAAAACTTCTTGTTCTGTTTCACTTCGGTGACATTACTAATTTTCTGTAAGTAGCATTAGTGTTTTTTTTTATTTTTTAAAAAACTTTTGTTTGTTTTCTAATTACTTCAGATAATGTAAATACTGTAAAAGTAAAAAAAAAAGTATGTGACATGATGCAGTAGGCCAGGGTATTATTGAGTATCATGAGGGTGTCATTTTTTTTTCAATAAGGAGGAAAAACTTCAAGGAATACTTTATGTGTTTGACCATAATTTTGATTTTAAAACAATGCTAAAAAGAAAGTAATTCACTGAAACGAAAAATGAAAATATCTAGCTAGAAAGTACTTTAATCGCTAGATAATTAAGAGTAAATTTACTTCCCGTTTCTTATTTCACCTTGCTTGGCAGACGTATCAAAAATAAAATGTGGAATATTTAATAACAAAAGTGATATAAACAAAAAAAAAACCCAAAAGAAAGTAAATTAAATCGGTTAGACGATCAAAAACATATATTAAAAAAATTTAATTTCAGCATCCCCTCTCCTTCATGCGCATGTGTAATCACATCAATGTTATGTAAATATCACTTGCGTCTTATGAAGTCCTAAAGGACAAAATATGTCACATGAACAAAGTTTTTCCACTTTCTCATAGATTTTTCTAAAATATATATTGATTGACTGGTTTTCTACAATTTATCAACACTTTACAGGTTATTTAAAACCAGAAAATATTTTTAGATTGTAAGAATTTTTTTTTTTTAGATAATGATTTATTGATACATGTTTTACTAATTAACCCATAGCTGGGGAGGAGAAGAGGTGGATTCATACCTTTTCCAACTCAGCTTTCCTATTAATAATTCTGAGCCATTATCCATTATACCACGTGCACATCCAAACTTACAGCATCTGGTATTCTCAAGCAGTCACCCATCTAGCTACTGACCAGGCTTGACATTACTTAACATTGGTGATCATATGGGAATGAGTGTTTCACTCCTATATGACTG